GGTGTGATTTTTTTTTTTTCATCAAACCCTGACATAATCAGACTTAATCATGAACCGTTGCATGACAATGAGGTAAACGCCTCTGCCAACTCTTTAGAAACTAATGTGTGTGGATGTAACTGCCTTAGTGAAACCACAAATGTGTACATATAGTATGTATTGTATATGTGATGTGTAATTGAAGAGTAATTCATCAACTTTTTTTTTTGTCAAGATTTCTGTAGCATCATCTTCAGCATGGAAAAACAAGGAATGCAAAAGCTGAATTCAGTGCACATGAGTAATATTTTAATAACTTTCACATCCACTTTATGGACTTCGCTTACATTTGAATTGCATAAGTTACTACATTTTTATGAGTGGGTTGGTTCAGAGCTTTTTGGAACAGTACACACTACTGTTATAAAACTCTTACCAATGCTGCATTTATTTGTTAAAAATACAGTAAAAACATTCATATTATTTCAGTTTAATTTAGTTTTTGCTTCATCTTTAGGAGGAGGTTGTTGTTCTTGCACCACATTACCAGGTCAGCCAGCTTCATCCTTCAGGCTGATTCATCATCATTTCAGTCATTCTGGTGCTGTCAGCAAAATAGATAATTAAATAGTTTGTTGTGGGTACATTTTAGTGTTTATTGCTCCCTCGTTCAGATCTCTTCTAAGCAATTATCTTCCAAATCTAACTCTTTTCCCAAATGATTTGTGCGTCCATATTGTACAAGTAAACAAAATCAAAAATACCTGTCATCCTTCAAAATAAATCGAAGAATTGATGATGTAAAATCATTTTTTAATAGTCAGTTTAAATGTGTTGGCAAACACTGGGATGATTAAGCAACACATTGTAGAATTAAAATGTTTGGCCTCTGTGCGCTTCATAAAACCATTTTTGAACGTAAATACAATGACATAGAGGAAATGAGACGCTCAACATTTGAATAGAGGGCACATCATTAATAACAGCCAACCTCAAATAGCTGATTAATGATTAGAGAGGCATGATCCCTGAATATCTTTATGATCATATAAAAGGCACAAAGTTCATACCATTTGTGTTACTAGGCAACTGAAGCAACTTAACGTTTGCTGTGAAGATAATGATATGAGATTGAAGAACAATTGGATGAGTTGTCATGGATGGCAGACTGTGAATAAAAGGGATAGAGCAGACAGTTTACGGTTTGCATTTATAATGGTGTTGTATTGTATAGCCTGAGGGTTTTTTATATATTTTCTGCTTGGGGTTCTCAGGCTGAAGGGTCCAAATGTCAAAATAACTGCTGTGAAATGAACAGGTGGTGAGACCAGTTTTCATTAGCCGCTGGGACTGTGATATGCACCTATTCAAAAAAGGATACTGATGAAAGGATGAATGTCAAGTTTATTGCTCATTGTCATGTCATGTTTTTTTTTTTTGTAAAATATTAAGATGCTTGATGACAGTTAGCGCAGTGTATATGGATTTGCATAGTGTCTATTTCAGTATTGATTTCTGACAATCTTTTGGTGAATTGATTTCTGCATTGTAAAAAATATATTTTGAAGTAAAAATGCTGAAAAAAAGGTCAAAGATTTACTTGATTGTTGTTGTTTATTGTTGGCTGTTATTGCACCAACCCAGCTTTGCTATAGGGCTACACTGAAAAATGCTTATGATTCAGTCACATTTGCAGTCTTCCCAGCATAAACTGTGGCATGAATAATTGATATGGTTAAGTGTATCTCATTGAATTAATATTTTTATGAGAGTTGTTTGATGACTTTTTGTCACTGTGTTCTATCATTTTGTATTAACATACTGTCCTGGAATATTGCAGAGAATTCTTTGTGAAAGCCCATAACAGACTTTTACTTTTACTTAGGGATGCACCGAAATGAAAAATCTTGGCCGAAGCCGTACAAAATGAAACACTGGGCCGAATACAGAATACCGAACACGGTTTTTCGCATTTTTTCCCCCATGTAGGCCTATTTTGCCATTTTTTTCACCATTGCATAAATTAAATAGCCAAAATGTGCTTTTTACTGTTTTGTCAAACAGTAAAATTGATAAAAAATCAATTAAAAAACGAAAATTAAAAAATATTTACTTAACACTGAACATTGAACATTATACCAACAAAGCACAATTTAACTTATAATTAATAAGTTAGTAAAATAATATATTTTTTTGCCATATTTGAGACTTGAATCAGGCATGTATTTGTTTTACTGTACAAATAAAGGCAGCCTTGCTGAGCAGAAGATAATTCTTTTAAAACATTAGAATATATTACAGATCCCAATTTGAACACTGTGAATGTTATAATAAATGTATTAATAGAGCTGTTGTAATGTAATTATTATTAACATGATTATTTTCTTACTTTTTTATTTTATTTTACAGAACAACAGTAAAATTACATTACTAACATTTATGAATGTTGATGGAGTTGTTGCTTTTTCTCAGCTTTTATCTTGGCAGAAACCCGCAGGAAGATCTCAGTGCTTCTTTTTGTTGACAACAACATGCAGATTTATAAATGATTCTCATTACGAATTTGGGAAGATGTTTGTCACACGTATCACATTGTCACATGTTACTGAGCAACTGACGAGTAACACAGTTTTAGCGCAGATTTTCCTCGCGCTTTGGACATTGAACCCTGGCATCGCGAGCTCGTGCAGCGCTGTCATTCTGCAGTTTATTTACTAATCGTTTAAGGCCATTTCGCGATTTCAATAATCATACAGTAGCCTAACCACCAGCATCAGCCACCTCTTCTTCTCATTAGGAGACATGTAATGCAGCACTAAACAGTCTCTCGCTGTCGGTGCTTTGTGCTTGTAATGATTTCTGCATCTTTCTCTGATAGTTTTAAATGCTTTCACACTGCCGACATGTTTGCTGCATTAGTGCCTCTATTTGATCGCGTTAGTCATTGTTCGGTACATATTATTCGGCCGAACACCGAAAGAGATTTTTTTTTGCTATTTTCGGCCGAATCATTTCGGTTGCCGAACATTCGGTGCATCCCTACTTTTACTAGAGCGTTAAAGTTGAAGTATGAATCCCATAGGGTTGAAGCCAAAAGCCTACTTAACTTTCATTATGTCAGTGGGATTATATCTCTTTAGAGACCATGTTAATAGCATTTAGAAATGCATTAATATTAATTAAAATAATTAATGAAAAAGCTCTTTAGTAGGCTACCGGCAGATGTTGGTTAAATGCCTCAGTAAAGGAAATGTGTGCTCTATTTTGGCAAGTGGCTGCAGTTTTTCCTCTTTCTTTTTTGTTAGCTGCCTTGCTCAGTTTAATGGGAATGGGTTGAGTAATGGAATAGAACAAGAGTTTTAACCCTGCAGTTCTCCTTCGGCAACATCAGTTAATCTTTTAGCAGTAAGCAGCATCTAGTCTCTCACAATAAGCTGAGCAGCCTCAGTCTGTGCTTTCTGTCCTCATTAGATCGAGGGCTGAAGAGCTGAGATCAACATGGGGCAGCTGCTGTCATGAATCAAGCTCTATTCATTAACACCAAACCTAATCAATTAGATTAGACAGGCTTTGGGTTGTTCAATAAGCAGTCTGCACAAGATATCAGAGAAACATGTCCTCTACCCGTCTGTGCTGCAGAAATCTGCAGTCTTTGAACTTTTTTGAAAGTGTGTTCTATATACAGGATAACATTTCCTACTGATGAGACATAATGTGCATAGTTATTCCCACCTAAAAATGAAATTCTTTCATGCTGTTCAAAGCTTATTGACTGTAAAGTGTAATGCATGACTGAGTCATGCACCCAATATTTATGGTCATTTTTTTGGAATATCAAATTTTATGTTTGGTTATATGCACTCTCCTATAATTGATACCTACATTAAAAACAACAAAAATATAAAGTTATAATAATGTTTTTGTGTTGTCTATGCTGCTTTTGGAGTTTATTTAAGCATCGTAAAATGTGTTTAATAGAGTTGATACTTTTATTCAGGGTCCATGGAATTGAGAGTTAAGACATTTTATAATGTTAGAAAAGATTTACTTTAACAATAAATGTGTTTTTTTTACTTTCTATTCATCATATAATCTTAAATAATTTATCATGGTTTCCACAAAAACATATTTTTTTGTAAATTGTTTTTAATATGAATAAAAATGTTTTTGAGCATCATATCAGCATATCATAGTGATTTCTAAAGAATCATGTGACATTGAAAAGTGAAGTAATGGCTGCTGAAATATATTAAACATTTTAAATTGTAAAAATAATTTTACAGGTTTACAGAATCTAATGATCAAATAAATGCAGCCTTTTTGAATATTAGAAACCTTTTTTTTTGCCTTTTAATTAGATAGGACAGTGTAGTGTGTGACCGGAAGCAATGTGGAAGAGAGAGGAGGTGAGATTGGGAAGGGTCCACAAGCTGGGATTCGAACTCGGGACGCCCGCAGTGCAACAGCGCTATATATCGGTGCACTGCCCACAGGGCTATTGGTGCTGACTAAAAAATTTATTTTTAAAAACATTTTACCAACCCCAAAATTTTTAACAGAATAGTGTATGTTACAAACATGCAAGAGACATGGGTAATATATAGAATTTTGTGATTGAAGGGCATTGTAAGGGAAATCTGTGGAGATATAACAGTCTTTTTTGTTGCAGTCTTTTTAAAATGTTTTTAGTATATCCCTATTCAGCCTACACAGTTTCCTCTGGATCTTTGTGTGTGCGTCTGTGTGGGAGGATGGGCTTGTTTCAATAGGTCACACTACAATGTTTATATATTTTTCTATTGCTGTCTTGTTTTGTTTTGCCTTTACAAAATCCTTACTGATAGCTATGATTACTCTGTCATAGATGTGAAACAAAATGGCATGCTGTTGGTATATTTCACAAACCCTGCATATTACTTGTTGTGTATATATTTTTTCTCTGTTACTGGAATACTAGGAACAAACAGTTCTGTGAAAGTGCTCCTGCTGATGTATTATCGTTTCCTCCGTCCCTCTGACAGCTCATTGAAGTGCCTGCTTTCCTCCACTGCCATGGCTTCTACACCTCCACCTCTCATGAAGAAGCACAGTCAGACTGATCTTGTGAGTCGCCTCAAGTCCCGCAAGGTCCTGGGTGTCGGCGGGGAGGATGATGACGGAGAGGTGCACAGGTCAAAGGTAACTTCCCACTTGCCTGCATCTTTATATTTTACCTCAATAGCAGCTATTCATGAAAGAGAGTATTTTTTTATTCATACCCAGTATAACAGCATAGTAGGGCTGGTCTGAATTCCATTTTTTGAGCTTCGAAGCTTCGGTAGTAATCAACACCGAATATTCGACGCTTTGGAGGGAGAGGGCTGAACATATTCTGCTCTCGCTAATAAAGTGAATGAGAACCGTTTCGCGGGGGATGCCAGGTGTTCGAAAAAAAAGAGAAGAAGAATATTCGAATCTCAAAATTGAAAATCGAATGCCAACCCACTGAACGAATATTTGAATAATCGAATATTCTGGTCCAGCCCTACAGTATAGTACAAGAAAAAACAGTATAGTACAAGAAAAGGAAAAATATAAAAATAATATTATATGTAAATCTTTGTAATATATTTTATCATTCATATAATTTCTTCATTCAGCAGTAAGCACATTTATTTATCTGCTTATTTAATAATGATAACAATATTTTAAAGATTTTTTGTGCATTATTATTAAAAATATTGTTCAATATATTAATAAAATATTTAATATATTTTTAGTATTGTTATTTAAATGTTATATATACAGTGGGTACGGAAAGTATTCAGACCCCCTTAAATTTTTCACTCTTTGTTATATTGCAGCCATTTGCTAAAATCATTTAAGTTAATTTTTTTCCCTCATTAATGTACACACAGCACCCCATATTGACAGAAAAACACAGAATTGTTGACATTTTTGCAGATTTATTAAAAAAGAAAAACTGAAATATCACATGGCCCTAAGCATTCAGACCCTTTGCTCAGTATTTAGTAGTGTAGGATATCAGACCGAATGAAAAATTTAAGGGGGTCTGAATACTTTCCGTACCCACTGTATATATTATTGCTGGGCAACGATTACATATTATTTTTTGTCACGATTAATCACATGATTTTCTACGATTAATCACACTATGTTCTACGATTAATCACATTATGCACAAAATTTTATAATGAATTCAAAAGTAGCGTATTGTGCACTTTTTTCATTTAAAAGTACTCCTATATGAATAAAAGTGCAATAACATTTGGTTTGCAAACACTTTAAACAAATAAGGTGCTTTGCAGTATTCCTTTTACATAGTAGCAGTTAAAATTTTTCTTGTAAATCTCAACTTATTACAACTAACATTAATGTAATCAAATTAAATATAAAACCAAAGCTTTTTGCCACTGCCAGGTTAACGTTTTTATAGAAAATATTTTGTAGTTTGTTATAGAAAAACAAGTTATGCTCAGAGTCCAGAGCCTCGATTAGAGTAGAGACCTGCACTATCGCGGGACCCAGCGCAACAGAGTGCGGCACGAGACAACACTTGATGGGCGAGTGCGGGCGGGTAGAGACTCAGGTGTGCGGGATGCGGGAGAGTAAGGGTTTACTCTCACTAGGCAATCTTAACCGTTTGACCCCCAAAGCCCGGTTCGTTACGCATGTAGTGTCGGAGCGCGGAACTTCTGAGACGTGCAGCATGATTGCGTCAACATATCTGAGTGGCAAAAGTGATAGATCTGTAAAGCAATATATTGTGAGAGGGCCATGTGTTACCGCGTCCCAAATGACTCAAAATAATAAACCACAAAGTTAACAAAACGATTCACTCCACTGTGCTGATCGAGAGCGCTTATTCTCTGCTGTCTTCACGTGCTATCGGAAACTTCCTATTTCCCGCTTATGAAGTCGTGAGCGCTGCAGCAGTCTTGGGCCCACCCCAAATGCTCTCATTGGTTGAGACGCGTCACGATGCCCATCCCAAGCCAGTACTGATTAACATCCCACCCCTCCTGTGACCCATGGTTTGTCTGTATGTGTAGTCAGAGCCAGTGAGCAACGGACTTTCATAATAATAAAAAAACTGCGTTAATGCGCGATAAAATAATTGTTGGCGTCAATCAATTAATGCGTTAACTTACCCAGCCCTATATACTGTATATAATTTTAATAAGTTTATATGAAAATCTAAAAGACATTATTTTTGGAATATATTTTATCATTCATAGAATGTCTTCAGTCAGCAGTAACCAATTTTTTTTATTTGCTTATTTAATAATGATAACTATATTATAAAGATTTTTTGGTGCATTATTAAAAATATCCTGTTCAATATATTAACTAAATATTTAATATCTTTTTTGTATTGTTATTTAAAATGTATAATATATAAAAATATATATTATTATTATTATTATTAATTATTATTATTATTATTATTATACACTAATTGGCCCCTCACCCTCATCCTGAAGCCAGCGTGCAGTCACGTTACACCACCATGAATAACCCACAATGAGAGCTTATTGGCACGACTGCCCACCTCATGCTCAGTGCTATTAAAACTCCTGGAGCTTTGAGGTAGACCACATGAAACATGGGCACCACTCAGACATGGTCACCCCTTTCCGCCCCTGCATTGTGCATCAAGCTCTGGATAGGGTCACAGAGAAAGATCAAAGACAACATCCATTAAGGGGCAGTCGCCCATCACCCTCTGTTTCAGCAGAGATGGCTCAGACAACACCATAATGGCTGGAGGTGTATGCATAAATGCAACTCTCCATGAGCTTTTAAGGGATTCTATAATAAAGGAATACTTCATCATAAAAGAATAGTTCATAATAAAGGAATAGTTTCTTCGTCTGAACAGACTTTAAAGAAATTCATCATTACATCACTTTCTCACCAATGGATCCTCTGCAGTGAATGGGTACCGCCACAATGGGAGTTCAAACAGCCGATAAAAACATCTACATGTAATCCACTTAACGTCTTGTGACTTGAAAAGCTGTGTTTATAAGGAACAAATCCATCAAGATTTTTTAACTTTAAACTGTTGCTTCTGGCCAAAATACCAGTCCATAATTCATAATAACACTTCCTCCAGTGAAAAATCATTGTCCTGTCACATCAAAATCCACCACCATATTTGTTTACAACTGTTTTGGCTTCTAAACTGTGCTTTGTCTGTGCATATTGTTCTTCTGATTCAGACGAGACAAGGTTTTCACTTGAGGAAGCAATATTATGGAGTACTCATTTGAAATTAAATTATTACAGAGGACTCATTTGAAATTAAAAGCATCTTAATGATGAATTTGTTTATTACAAACATGCAGCTTTTCACTTCACAAGACGTTAATTGATGGACTGGAGTCATGAGGATTACTTGTGGATTATTGTGATGTTTTTATCAGCTGTTTGAATTCTCATTCTGACGGCACCCGTTCACTGCAGAGGATCCACTGGTGAGCAAGTGATGTAATGCTGAATTTCTCCAAATCTGTTCAGATGAGAGAACAAACTCATCTTGAATGGCCTCAGGGTGAGTACATTTTCAGCAAATGTTCATTTTTGGGTGAACTATTCCTTTAATAATTGAACCATTTCACCATTTAAAATAGATCATGCTTTTTGGGTACAACATTTTTCTGTGGTAGAAAATGATTTTATCCATTACTTGAAGGACTTGTGCTTTTACAATATCGATTTTTCTGTCCAGCAATTAACATGATAATGTGCACCATGATGTGTTTGAAGCACTCTGTTTAATTTCCACATTAGCTTGTCACTAAAACAAGCTATCAGCCCAGTTGCTGCGATACTGCTGTCAGACGAACGTACTGTGTAGCTTCCGCCATTACAGGTCTTATGAGAAAACAGAGTTCTCTCTGTTCCCAGCAGTTGTCGAGATGTGTTAACCCCCCCAGAAACAACCAGAGCGAGGTGTCGATTGAGTGATGGTCTCCATAGCACATGACATGCTCTTGTTCCTCAGTGCGACATGCTTTCTGAACACTTTATCTCTGAAATCACTTTTCTCCTGAGAATAATCAATGGTGCACTATGGTATTAGCTACTGCTGTTTACTGGGTAAATACAGCAGCATTTGTTCATCAAGTCTCAACAAATTGCTTTGGCAATATCAGTTGAATGAATGTTCCAAGTCTAGATATTACAATAAGCTAAACCCGTAGAACTAAATATTTACTAAACAGAAACGGCTGATGTCAGCTTGTCTGTGACATCAGTTTTACTGTAAGCCATTACTATTTCTGTGCTCCTGAGAGGCTAAAACACACGCCCCCATACAAACACACTTCGTACTATAGGGTGCACGGAAACACTCATTTTTTTCTTATAGGGGCCTACCACAACAAAGAAAATGTATTAGGTTTAAAGAAAGTGCAACTATTATATGAAGTTCACATCAGGACCGTGTTTTGAAGGCCACAGCAATCACTTTACAAAATTATCTTCCGCTAACCTTCCATCACTTTCTTGCTTCCCTTATAAAATGGCCTTTAGCCAGGATTTCAGCACCACAGCTTCCCATCAGAAACGGATCGGGTTTTCATCAACACTAATTTACCCATGCTGCGGAGGCTTTTAGTGGAGCGTGGTGGAGTAGGGAGATGGATAGAGCCCTCTCTTTTAGGGTGGGAGAAGAAAGAGATAGCCTGCATGTTTAATGGCCATTAGGGCTTGTTGATTTTTTTTTAAGCCCTGGAAGCCACATACATTATTTTGAGCTAGAAATGGAAAGGAGCGAAGTAACATCATTGTGATAATTTCTTATAGAGCACATCGAAGTAAAGATGATGTCTAATTATGCATTTCAAAAATATGTAAAATGTACATTGCTACTGTATAGTTTCCTACTGATTTCCTTAAGCACTTTTGACCCGTCTCTGCAACTGATGCTGGGTCTGACTTGCTTTCTTGTTAAGAGTTGTTATGCAGACAAAGAAAAGAATGGGTTGAGTGAATTATCTCTGGGATTATTCAAGAACATCTAGAACAACCATGAATTTAAATATAAAATTAGAAGGTTTTCAGTATGTTTTCAGGTTTTGTTATTTGGTTTAAAGAACACTAGACAAGAGCAAGTTTGTTAAAATGCATGGCAGATGGCAATAGATGGCAGGGTAGGATTGGTCAGTTAATGTTTCTAAAGGGGTAGTTCACCCAAAAATGAAAATTCTGCCATTAATTACCCAGCCTCATGTCGTTCCAAACCCATAAGACCTTTGTATGGAACGATATTCCGGACAATTTTCAAATAGAATAGCAAATTGTATTTTCAATTGTGTTTTCAATATGTGGACGCATAAATTGTGACATATAATCCAAATGCAATTGCAAATCCTGCATTACCGTTTGCATTTTCGCTTTTGTGAATGCACAGTGACTGCCAAATTTCAAATAAAAAGGCAAAGTCCATTTGCAACTGTATTACCCTTGTCTTAGGAGTTACAAGCCTGTCATATTTAAATGGCAATATTAATTACCAGTCTGCTTTTTCACTCTTGCTGTGTCGCGCATGTAACCTGCCAAAACTCAAATGGAATCGCAATTCCTTTTGCATTTGAATTTCCGATGTCTACATGGAAAGCTGCCAATCATCGTCAGGGGCAGGACTATACTATGGGGTGTGTTTGTATTGGGAGGTGACGTCACTTACAAACACCAGACGTAAAAAGCAGACGTATCAAATAAATGCAGCCTTGGTGAGCATTAGACTCCTTATGAAAAAATTGCTTACTCATATGCTCTTTTAAACAGAGCATTTTCTTGCAATATTCCATGTCACTTATGGAATCACGAAAGTTAGGCTACCCAAAGAAAGCATTATATTGTACCACCGTCAACATTCTTATCTGTGTCTGCCTGATTTTGTGTGAAGGAGCTGTGCTCCCCTGTGGCCCGCAGCCTGGATTATGAACACAAAGCCATCATTGTGAAATCACCCAGCCTGCTGTCAAAATAGACCTATTAAATTAAAGCAAAACTCAAACTTTCCTATCAGTCCCTTCAGATTCTACACCAAAGTTTCCAATTTCACAAAATAAAACCGTGTCCTTCTGCATGGTCCATTCAGTGTCAGCAGGCTTGTGCTGTCAGCAAATCTGATAATCCTACTTTTGTGAGTCAGACCTGTTTTCCTCAATTTGACATTTTCCTACCATGGGCCTCTATTTTTCGTGCCAGCTTGGTCTGTTTATAGAAAGATTGTAATGTTTATCAAAGTCATTGATGTTTCTTACATATGTGTTATGGTGTTACATGCTAATATTGACATTTCTCTCATTTTGCAGATCAGTCAGATGTTGGGTAATGAGATGAAGTTTGCTGTGCGTGAGCCCATTGGTCTCCGGTAAGACATTCTCTTCATATCAGACTACCAACTTGGCTTGTCTCTGTCTTTGCATGTGACATCAGACACCCTACTAATTTAATTGTTCCAGTGTTCTGTGCAGTTTTTTTTTTTTTTTTTGGCCAATCCTTGAGGGTTTTGATTGTGGCTCATTTGTGTCTTATTAGAGGCCAGCTGGTTAGATGTGTTGTGTCTTTCCTTGTCTCATTGCAGGCTCTGGCTCCTCATCTCTGCAGTGCTGTTCACATCCACATCCTTAATGGTGAGCAGTTCACACAAAATGTATAACAGCTCATGCTCCAAACTGAAATAATGCTCATTGTGTTTTGTTTAATCATTTACACTATACTGTTTAAAAGCTTGGGGGTCGTTTTTTAAATAAATTAATACTTTTATTCAGCAAGGATGCATTAATTTGATAAAAAAAAGTGACAGTAAAGCCAACTATAATGTTAAATCTGTTTGAAATAATAATTACTGTCTATTCTTCAAAGAATCCTAAAAAAAATTAACCGTTTCCACAAAAATTTTAACCAGCACTGTTTTCAACACTGATAATAAGGAATTTTACTTGAGCACCAAACCAACATAATAGAATGATTTCTGAAGGATCATGTGACACTGAAGACTGGAGTAATGGCTGCTAAAAATTCAGCTTTTTATACGATTTATAAATTTGAAATACTATATATTAAAATAAAAATGGTTATTTTAAATTGTAATAATGTTTCACATTATTACAGTTTTTATTGTATTTTTGATCAAATAAATGCAGCCTTGTTGAGCATAAGAAATGTCTTTCAAAACATTTTACATTTCTTGTTTTTCTGTCATCTTAAAGGATTAATTTTTTTTGCAGATTTGCCACATCTCCCTAGAATTTCTTTAACATTACATTCATTATGTGACCTTCTTCTCTTTGTTATAGGCCTTGGCTTTTCCCAGCCAGCTCTACGAGATAATATTTGAGATCACCACCTCGAGGATCTCCATCAGACTCTACGGAGGAGCTCTTCTATGTATGTTCAGCTTTATGGGATTAGGTTTGGAGGAAGAAAGTGTAACACTATAATAGATGATAATGACAACAAAGTGGCCTGTTCTGACTTACACATACACTACATTGCCACAAAAATGAAGGAACCCTTTACATATAGTGAATTTCACTATGGGATTTGTAAAAGCATTGACGATATCGTTGAAATAAAATGCATGTATTGGCCCGGTTAGGACACTTTGTAATCCGGGCCACCAATGTTAACCCCCATCATTTTGGAAAGGGATGTTTAAATGTGCATTTCTGCACATACCATTGGCCATGTTGCATATACATGCACGTCTATACACTTTAGCTTTTTTCACTCCGTCTCAATTTATGCATAGCAAATGCATAATGTAAACACATTTGTGCAGGTCTGTCTCCCACTCACAGGAAATATTCATGACTAGATGAGCTTTTCACTGCCAGATTAGTGTATGATTTCAAGTGGTATGAATATTTTATGCCTCTGTTTTAAAAATGGATGAGTCCATACAATTCCATTTAGCCACATAGGGCCAAATAGGGCTTTCAGAGTGCTGGGCAGTGCTACTGTATTGGGGCTAGTAATGACCCCCTGCTGGTCCCAGGATGCTTCACAATAACAGCACATGCAAGGCTCACCCCGTGCTTGAGCTTACAGTCAGCCGTAGGAGGTCTTGTATTATAAAAGATTGCAGGGGTGGCTTATGGGTATGTGAAAGAGACTGTTTTGTGGAAATAAAATCCCTTCCCTCCCTATGCCCTTATTTCATTATGAACAGCAGCCTATTTGTCTTTTCTCCATAATAGCGTAACGCAGCCTCTAATTCAGCATAAAGAAGTTTTCCCTCCCCAATTTGTTTAGATTCCAGCCTTAACCAGTGGGGGGATATAGAATATTATGCTAATGTGATTACATACATTATCTGTCCGAGTACTCATGAGTATGATTCTGCAGCAGAGCCCTGGAAGCTTTGCTGCGCATAATAACTATAAGTTTATAATCTCTTGCTGGAAAACAGTGCAAAGCATTACAGTTGTAACACGTTCTCAGGATGCTTCCAAGACCATGACAAGTCAATAAAACCTGATGAAATCTGTCCTGAAACTCTCTTGCACTTGCCATTGGGCCTTCCTTATTGTTGAGTCCTGAGAATGTCTAGAATACTTATTGTTCTTAAGGCTGTACTGCCCTCTTATGGTAACAAGCTCTCTTTAAAATCCAATCCAAGCACAAGCTTCAAAGGATTAGATATCAAATTAAAACACTAAACTTCTAAAATAAATATTGAAGAAAGTGATTACACTTACTGTATTTACGACTGTCACATAATAAAAGCCTAGTTTTAAAATTTCTGAAATATATGGTACATGCAGATTCATATTTTATTGTATTTTTTACATTTTATTACTTATTTACTTAGTTGTTGGTAACATAATATTATATTATTTTTTATTTTAATATTATGTATGTTTTATGTTTTGTTATATTTTTATTCATAAGTCCAGTCCGGCTGCCCACTGCTCTGGGTGTGTGTTCACGGTGTGTGTGTTCACTGCTGTGTGTGTGCACTTTGGATGGGATAAATGCAGAGCACTAATTCTAAGTATGGGTAACCATACTTGGCCACACGTCACTATCACTATCAAGTACACAAGTCAGCAAAATATACAACACTGTTCTAGTGGTTTTTGGATATTTTAATAAAAAAATCTTACATACTGTATTGTGCCTTTAAGTAGGTTTGTAAATTGAGTGTTGTAGCTATGCTGCATGGCTATGCTGTCTTGTAGCTATGCTGTCTTTAGCTAAATGTCTATATATGCTTCAGACTACTACTTAGTTTGACTTTACAAATTAGTCTTTATACTTTTTTTTTTCTTCTCTCCCACAGTGACGTCCATCACCCTCTTGGAGATGGGCACACTGTCCAACGGTGCAATCGTTCTTCTTCTTAGTGAAACCTTCTTCCTCTTCGTCACCTTGAGTTACTATCACCACCTTGGCCGGCGCTCCAAAAAGATCTGAGGGAGGCCAGCTATTTGTTAGATGAGTAGATTGGATACAGTAGCACCTCTGCCTGGACCAAATTAATTTACCCTTGACTGAAAATCAACCTTTTTTGGGGGCAATTTCCATTTTATGTAAGTACAATAACTGGGTATTTACTCTCATTAGATTCAGAGGGCCACAGATCATTAATATTGTTTTTGTTACATTAAGTTCACTACAGTGGGTATAATTATTTGACAGCTCACTTTTTTGTAAAAGCATTTTCTGAGAATTTATTGTATGGAGGGTAAATTTATGGCTCATTTATGAATGTCAGAGAATCACAAATGTGTCCGATTAGTTTGCAAAGATGCCTGCAATTCATGTCATATTAAGTAAGAGTTTAGTGAACTTCCTACTGGTGTGTCATTCTATGGCAAGAATGTAGTTTTATAATGGTGCTGGTTTATTCATCAGGCAAAATAGGCATAGCATGACACAACATACAACAAATAATACAGGACAAAAGGTAAAACAAGAAATAGCATACATACAAAATTAATAAATACAAATTTGAATCTGATATTACAGAAATACAGTTGTTACATTTACTTGTAGTTACTAACATTTCTAATAGATTTATTTCATTCATATTATTACCTCTGTAAATCAGGTAAATTGCAGTTAAAATTCCAAAGTGATAAACAAATACATTCCTTTTGAGCCTTTAGGTTCCCAACAGTACATTTTGTGATATGGTGAGAATAATGGATGTAGTATTAAATGGTATTTACGTGTGTATTTCAGAAAGTACCTTATTAACTTTGTAGTTGGAAATGTATTACTGTCAAATGCAGCTCTGTGTCGCTTCAAACTAAGAAATTCTACACCTACCAATTCAGATGTCAATTTTTAATGCTTTACATACCTAATGGACATTTGCACAACAGTTACTAAAGTAAATGGTGTAATTACAAACTTGGTACAACTCCCCTTTATGACGGATTAAAAGATTACAGAAAATAAGTCAGTTGAAAAATCTTTTGAGGATTTTTCCATGTTCTGATCTCCATGTTTTCATGATACTCAAGCCGCATGTTAATAATGGTTTTACTCTTGCAAATTTATCTGTATGTATTAAAGGGACAGTTTACCCAAAAGTGCAAGTGCAACAACATTGATTTTTATTTTTGTTTTCAAAACTTCTGTGGAACAAAAAAAGGAGTATCATAAAAGTAGTTAATACAACTGAATTCATATGATGTTTTCTTTGTGTCTCGTCATTGACAGTGAACTTCAGAGAATTTTCTGTTTTGGGTGAACTATTCTTTTAACAACTACCATTATGCACAAGAATTGTACATTTTAGAAGTGTATGTAGTACGATATTCTTTATGCCTTTAGTGATCGTTGCACGAATTCAACACTGCAGATCGACAGTAGCGCTAAAATGTAGCACTTTTATAAATCTAAAATGTCAGATTATATCAGTAAACGATATAATCAGTGAATAATACTTCCGTTCAACTTCCACAAAGTGTTAGCATGTTTATTCACCTTTTATTGTCACTATGTTGTAGCCATAAGCGAATGTTGCATTTCTTTTATCATACTACCAACATCTGGCACAGCATTAGCAAAAGTTGATTGTGAATAATAGTATAAAATGATTATTCTATAACTAGCAGGTGTTATTCCTAACAGTATATGCTTCCATCACTGAACTGTCATTTGAGATGTGGACTGTCACGCTGCCCTTCCAGAGATCTCAGATACTGCTTCCAGTGAAACACACATGGCTTTATTCCAAAGGGAAATCAGAGGAACATATGAATATGTGCTTTGGAATGGGCAAGTTAGACAGTATTTCAGACAGAGAAGGTGTGATGAACCCATTTCATAATTCTATATTAACTGCTGTACTTCAAAACCAAACTGCTGTTTGTTTATTTATACTGTACATCTCTCTTGAGTTTAGTAATAGTTTATTAGCAAATCAATGGACCATGATTTAATTGTGAAGTCAAAGCACAGTTTATGATTATATGTACACTAGACTCAGTATCTTTTTGCTTTGCAAATATTTGAATGATTCAGGAATGTGTAACCCTTCTTAAACATCTGTAAAGTTGCAACTTTGTTTCTATTTGTTTTTGAGATGGATGATAGCAATGTTAGTTTTTAGAATGTTTGTTCAAACGCTCATGTACCACAGGTATGTATCTACTTTTTGTAGAGAAACAGTGAATGTGCTTAATAAATCTATAAAGTTTTTCAAATGGAAAAGGTATTCTTGAATCATTGACTGATTTCTACCCACAGGAGCTCTGATTCTGATCTGTAGCTAAAGGTGTTGTGAGCTGTGCCCAAAAGCAGTTTGAAAGTTTTAAAATCAGATGAGGTCTAACATGTATTTTCACAAACATATTCCCTGAGACCACTGAACTATCACAGAACGTGTTGTATTACTGTATATATCCGTTTGGCTATATAATTCTATTGAAGAAAAAAAAATCGATCAACTCTCAAAGTGAATGGTGCTTTCTCTTTTAATATTCAGATGACTTGGAGTGAGGCGCAGGTTTGTTAGGTATGTACTGGCACAGCTTGCACTGCTTGTTTTTGGCTCCAATAACTGTGGGCTTCCCCTTGTTAGGACTTGCACTTTTGTTTTATGCACATGCTGTTATCTTTACATGCAACAAATTTGTACCCACAGCATTTTAGCAGATGCTATTTCTCAGAGCAAATGCTGCTTTCACTTTCTCATTGACAAAAGGTTTGTTCATTGGACAGGAAAGGTTGAAGCACATAGGGATCTGTAAGATATATTGCCCTATATCATATTAACATGAATATATTGCCAAAATTACATACTAGGCAATAGCCTATATAGTTTTCTCATACATCCTCTGGGTAAATGAAAATATAAGTTTATAATGTGTAAAATCCCCATAATAATATATAATATGTTAATAATATGTATATGAAGATTTTATATGTTGTAGCATGTCAACAATATATATTTTATATAGGCTATGCAATTTTATTAAAACAACATTTATACAAAAATCTGTGTTTATTTATGTTTTTGTTCTACTTTTTAAAATGCGTGCCTTTTTCATATATTTACTTACTTCTTGAGAAGTTTTAGGATGGATATACGTGTGCATGACATATGTCCAAAAATGTATTCCACGTAGTACACAAGCATATATTTGTATGAGATAGCTAGATATGTTAATATATGAATATTTTCCATCATTTCGAATAGGTTTATATAGGTTTTACGTAATATGACGATACATTTCATATATGGTAATTATAATATGCTAAATGTACACATATTTGCAGCTTAACTGTCCCACTTGTTTCTGGCCCAAGTAACTGTGGGTGTCGGGTGTTTTAGTTTTCTTCTACATGCTGTCATTTATTTAGTATCTAAAAAGATTGCATCCACATTTCAGATGCAGCAGATGGCGTTTCTTAAGTGAATGCATCTTTCACTTTGATTATGGATTGTTGATGACAGGTGTGAGTGGGGAGCATATTTGTTTGGTAGCTATTGGTCCAGCTCAACTTTTCTACACTCTTAAAAATAAAGGTGCTTCACGATGCCATAGAAGCAAGAAAAAATACGCTCTAAAAAAAGGCACTTCATAAGCATTTCATATGCTGTCTAGTTGGAGGTAAAGTAAACCAAATGGTATTGGTTCTTAAATTTTGTTAACCTACAGATTTTTTTTCTTTTACTCTTTCAATGAAATGATTTAAATCTTAAATTGGGTTTGAAAATATCACCTGACACATTTTTTATTTTGTTTGTTAAACATAATGGTGATGAGTTTCAAAGATATTTTGTTGATGTCTAAGCAGTTCACTGAGGCCCCCAAGTGGACAGTGGCCCGCTACGCTAATATTAATCAAAGCCACTTGGTGGAGACTGAGCAGCCTTTATCCTACAACTCCAGGCTGCTCACTCGCACTAGACTCAAGAACGCTGGACGAGACGCGCAGCTGACATCTATTGTAGCCTACTTTTCTCATTTCCCCATCCCGACACTATACGTGAGTATCTTTTATAAAATATAACATTTTATGAAATGATTGTTGTATATCTTATTCAGAATATTTCGTCAGGTTATACATCTTTAACAACTGAAGATGGGAAACTGAATGAAATGAAAAGTTTAAATAGCCTAGATAATAGTCATGAGTTGGTCCATTAGGTCGTGTCCCTGCATTTCTTTTCAAATGTTTTAATATCACAGGCAGTTTTAATGTTTTGGCGTGTCATGTGTAACATATTTTCTGTGAGTAGCCTAGTTTGTGTGTTAAAGCAGAGTTTACAATTGTCGCTTTTTCAGTTCTAATAACGGTTTCACTATTCTAGTTTGGATTTAATTTCCTATTCATAGTTTACTTCTATAAAACATTATGAAAACATGTCAGGGGTTGTTTATTCTCGCACTCATTGTCATTATTTCGCTTTCAGTTAAAAATGTGATCCTTGAGCTGTTGTTATCGGTCAGGATAAGGAGTGTTTACAATGTATTATAGTCCTCAAAATAGTTTACTTGTTAGTTTTGTTCAGGGTTATGAAAAAGCCCGTTTTCCTCGCCTGCACATAGTCTGTATTTTTCCGCTTTAAACGTTTTTTTTAGGGAGCTCTCTTTGTGAGGAAGGTTTAATTCACTGGTTATGAACTGTAATGTGAGATCTGTCGAATGTAGGTCAAGTCGGTTTACAACTGTAAGTGATTTGGCAAGTGAATTGAAATAGACTTTTTTTCTGCTTGGAGACGAATAGGAATTTGATTGACACAATAACTGTGTAGTTTGAATCTGTCTTTGCCTACAAATTAGGCTCTATGATTTTGATGATTGGATTAAAGGGATAAAATAAAAATACAAATCCTGTCTGTCATTACTCACCCCTCAAGTTGCTCCAAACCTGTATGCTTCTTTCTTCTTTTGAAAAAGGTTATTTTAAAGAATGCGGGTAACCAAACAGTTGCTGGTCCCCATTGTCATCCATAGTATGGGAAAAAAATACAGTGGAAGTCAATGGTGACCAGAAAATATCTTGATGTTCAGCAGAGGAAAGAAATTCATACAGGTTTGGAACAACTTGAGGGTGAGTAAATGATGAAAGAACTTTCATTTTTGGGTGGAATTTCCCTTAAGTTGAACTACAAATCAGTAACCTGGGTAACCAAACAGTTGCTGGTCCCCATTGTCATCCATAGTATGGGGAAAAAATCAGTAGGGGTTCAATCTTCAACTGGCTGGCAGGAGCCGCCACTGACAGGTCACGTGACCTGCCAGTGGCTGGGGGCTTCTATAAAACATTATGAAAACATGTCAGGGGTTGTTTATTCTCGCACTCATTGTCATTATTTCGCTTTCAGTTAAAAATGTGATCCTTGAGCTGTTGTTATCGGTCAGGATAAGGAGTGTTTACAATGTATTATAGTCCTCAAAATAGTTTACTTGTTAGTTTTGTTCAGGGTTATGAAAAAGCCCGTTTTCCTCGCCTGCACATAGTCTGTATTTTTCCGCTTTAAACGTTTTTTTTAGGGAGCTCTCTTTGTGAGGAAGGTTTAATTCACTGGTTATGAACTGTAATGTGAGATCTGTCGAATGTAGGTCAAGTCGGTTTACAACTGTAAGTGATTTGGCAAGTGAATTGAAATAGACTTTTTTTCTGCTTGGAGACGAATAGGAATTTGATTGACACAATAACTGTGTAGTTTGAATCTGTCTTTGCCTACAAATTAGGCTCTATGATTTTGATGATTGGATTAAAGGGATAAAATAAAAATACAAATCCTGTCTGTCATTACTCACCCCTCAAGTTGCTCCAAACCTGTATGCTTCTTTCTTCTTTTGAAAAAGGTTATTTTAAAGAATGCGGGTAACCAAACAGTTGCTGGTCCCCATTGTCATCCATAGTATGGGAAAAAAATACAGTGGAAGTCAATGGTGACCAGAAAATATCTTGATGTTCAGCAGAGGAAAGAAATTCATACAGGTTTGGAACAACTTGAGGGTGAGTAAATGATGAAAGAACTTTCATTTTTGGGTGGAATTTCCCTTAAGTTGAACTACAAATCAGTAACCTTACTGTAAGTTACAAAATAATGCATTAATAGCCTAGTAACCGTAATACATTATACTTTGAATGCTTTACTGATTCATTTATACAGTAGTGCAATTTTGATTTACAGTCAAATTTGTGTGCTCAAGCAAAGTGTATGCATTCATTGCATACATTATTTTAAAATTTTTTACATTTTTAAATTAGCAGAGGAACATATACCCTTAGGAAAGAAAAATCACAACAATTTTCACCGTCTAAGCTGTGTCAGCAATGAGAATAAATGGAGACAAATAGACACCAGGATATTAAATTATGGCCAGTGAAAACATTTTAAATAGATTTTTTCTAAAACCAAGTGATCTGGTCTATGATATCAACATCCATATTTTTATAGCTCTATACTCTTACTGTATGTCAACAATCATCTCATCTGTGTTTGCTTTAAGTTCACCAGGAATTTTAGGATACACATCTGAGACAAAGTTGATAAAACATAACAAATCTGAGTTTCGCTATAACAACTTCTAAACAATAGCACTTTCTTTTGAATTACATTTCCAGTTTGCCTGCATTCCATTAATAGGTGATGTTTCATACACAAACATTGGCTCTTCCCTGTTGTTAAAATAGTATTGCTTTTCTAAATCATAATCGCCATTCATCATAAAACTAGTCAACTTTAATAACCTCTCTGGGCCATTTTAGTAGCTGCTTGTGCAGCCCACTTTAACACGACTGGTGCCATCAAGCTGGTCTTTGTGTTCAGGTGGAGAGATTAACCATCCTAATGAATGTAAGCCTTGTTTCTGCCTGAAGTAACTGTGGATAGACAAGGCCATTGGCCCCAGTGGGCTTCCCCTTATTTGGGGTTTCACTTTTCTTTTTTTCTGCGTGCTGTGAGGAGTGTGAAACTGTTTAGTCTCTCAAGAGGGAACACTCTGCACCCCTTCATGCCAGCCCACTTGATGGTTACCATGGCAAACTGTTTGGCATGCACAAGTTCAAATGAAGTTGTTGTGGAAGTGACAAAGACTAGAAGGCCTTGAATCATCAGCTGTAGGCTTCATTTTATAGCTTAACCGATTGCAAGGAAGCTCAATGGCATTATATAAAGCACACTTGCTCAATCAGCAAAGATGCTTGAGCTTTTAGTAACAGATTC